CTTCACTCAGACAGCTGCTGGCTGCTGAGGCTGACAAGCCCAAGGTTGACAAGTAAAAAGGCACAGTCCCGATATTACCAAACCACATGGCAGGCCGTTGATTCAAGTCCATTGACAGTCCCAAGATCAGCAGAGCATAGCAGACTGCTGAACAACTCGGCTATATTCAGGATGCAAATGTGCCATCAACTAGAAACCATTCCCAAAGCTGCTTCTTATACACAGGATGCAGACCACATCCCTAAAACAGCTACTCAGCTGCTTGTGGTTGATCCCACCATGGAGTTGACTGCCAGTCTCATCATGGGAAATAACTACCACCAGCTGCCCAGCCACTCAACCAGGCCCAGCCAAACTGACACACAACCTTAACTACCACACCTGGACAGAGTATTTGGTGAGGGAATCAGTATTCATAAAACCAAGTCAAGACAGCATAGTCAGAAGCAAAGAACAGGTGTACATTTCACAGTCATTGGGGGTACTGTTCTATAAATATCAATTAAATCAAATACAACTTATTGTTCAACTCAAATATAATTATTTATTGTCTGCTTTTATTATTTTTTTTAATTTCTATTGTTATTTGGGTAGAAGTTTACAGAGCAAATTCATTTTCCATACAGTTTACATATACTTTGTCTCATGACAGTGACTGCAATTTCCCACAACGTAACAGCTCTCCTCCCTCTTGCTCCCCATAGTTACCTCTTCCCTGTGCCCTTCCCTCTATGCACTCCTGCCCCCTGAGCTGTCTCCCTGTGCATATATAACCCTTCTACTCTCCCATAATTGATCTCTCCAAAGAATATATCTACCTAATGTACATGTTCAGTTCATATGCCTGTCTTTTATTTGGCTGAAGCCAAAGGAGTGGGTTCAGTTCCAGACCTGAAGGGCAACTAGGGGCCATAATTTCAGGGGTTTCACCAGGCTTTATCAGACCAGCAAACCTGGCCTTTTTTTTTTTTATTTTTATGATTTTAAGTTTTGTTCCACATTGTTCTCCCACTCTATCCAGGATCTCCTACATAGATCCCCCTCCAATTGTCTACTTTTTTAATCAATTGCTAAGAGAGGGAAGTTGGAATATTCAATAAGTATAGACTTATCTAGTTCTCTTTTCAATTCTGTCAGTTATGTGTATTTTGATGCTCTGTCAGTAAATAACTACACATTATTATGTATTCCTAAAGAACTGACTTTTCATTGTTATGAAATGCCTTTCTTTATTCCTGATAATACACCTTGCCTTGAATTTTACTTTGATATTAATATAGCCACCCAGCCTTATATGTTTGAAGCAAAGGGTTTAATCTATTTACATTTAATATATCTGGGTTTAAATCTTCCTTGAATTTATATGTTTTCTATTTATTCCACTTGTTCTTTCTTCCTTTGTACTTCCTGTTCTGCCTACTTTTGGCTTTTTGCTATTTGTTATAAGGTGCTGGCAAGTCGGCTCCTACTCATAGCAACACTATGTACAAAAGAACAAAACATTGCTGGGTCTTGCACCATCTTCACAATCCTTGCTATGCTTGAGCACTATGCTGCAGCCACTGTGTCAATGGATCTTGTTGAGGGTCTTCCTCTTTTTTGCTGGCCATCTATTTCAATAAGTATAATATCCTTCTCCAGGGAATGATCACTTCTTACAACATAAGCAACATAGCTGAAATGAAGTCTGGCCATTCTTGCTTCCAAGAAGCATTCTGGCTGCCATTCTTCTAGAACAGATTTGTTCATTCTTCTGGCAGTCCATGGTATTTTCAGTATTCTTTGCCAACACAATTCAAAGTCATCAACTCTTCTTAGGTCTCCTTTATTCACTGTCCAGTTTTCATGTGCATATGAGGTAACTAAAAATACCATGGCTTCAGTCAGGTGCATTTTGTCTTCAAAGTGACATCTTTGCTTCTTAACACTTCTTTTGTTACTCAGTGCAATATGATGTGTAATTTCTTGACTGCTGCTTCCATGGTTGTTGATTGTAGACCCAAGAAAATGAAACCCCTGAAAATATCAATCTCTTCTCCATTCATCATGATGTTGTTTATTGGTCCACTTATGAGGATTTTTGTTTTATGTTGAGGTGTAATCTACACTGAAGACTAGTCTTTGATCTCCATCAGTAAGTGCTTCAAATCACTTTCATTTTCTGCAAGCAAGGTGGTGTCATCTGCTTATCACAGGTTGTTAGTGATTAATTCCTCCAGTCCTGATGCCAAGTTCTTCTTTATGTAGTCCAGCTTCTCAGATTATCTGCTCAGCATACAGATTGAATAAGTACGATGAAAGGCTACAACCCTGATGCACATCCTTCCTGATTTTAAAACATGCAGTATCCCCTTGTTTTTTTTGAATGACAGCCTCTTGGTATATGTACAGGTTCCTCATGAGCAAAATTAAGGGTTCTGGAATTCCCATTTGTTCAATGTTATTCATAACTATTATGTTCTCCACACTCAAATGGCTTTGCATAGTCAATAGAACACAAGTAAACATCTTTCTAGTATAATCTGCTTTCAGCCAAGATCCATTTGACATCAGCAATGATATCCCTTGTTCCATGTCCTTGAATTTCTCAAGTTCCCTGTCAATATACTATTGTAACCATTTTTTAATTATCTGCAGCAAAATTTTACTTATGTATGATATTAATGGTATTGTCCAATAATTTTCACATTCTACTGGATCACCTTTCTTTGGAATGGGCACAAACGTGGATCTCTTCCAGTCAGTTGGTGCAAAAAGGACATGGAGGTGACACCCTCCTCTAACCTCCTCCAACCTCACAACAGGAAGACAGAATCATCAGCAGCAGCCCAAGACTTATTCCTATGAGGCCAGAAATACCACTACCCTCCAGCCTTTTTATCAATTCTGATACCAGCCATCCCTCCCATAGCACTCATTACTTTTCTGCTGGCTTTGGTAATTTGTTACAATGACCACACAGAACTACAGACAATACTCACAATTACAGGATTTATTAGGGAAGCAATAGGTTACAATTCCAGGCTCAGGAACACTCTCAGCAGATAATTCAATTCTTCGAGCAACAGTCTTCCCTCTGCTATGCCCTCAGGCACACCTCTCTGGCCCTTAGCCTCTGGGCCTGGCCTTTGCCCTGCACAAGCAAGTGTTAGAAAGCTATTTTAGCTCTGCCAACAGGGGCACTTGGGTGCACCCCACTCCGCCAACAAGCCTCCTGCCAAAGACACTCAGCTTTCTCAGTCTATGGACCATCAAGCCCACTACTCCGTCTCATGCCTCTTGATTCTACTGCCAAGTCTCAGCTGGTCATCTCAGCCATCTCTCTGCCAAGGAGGTCCAGAACAGGGATTTCAGGTCTAAGGATGCATTCTACTCAATCTCCAGCTCTTCCCTCTTAATAGCAGTGAGATCCCACTTTCTGCCTCTAGGAGGACTCTTTTTAAGCCTAGTGGAATGGCAAAACTGACTAATTCTCACTTTGTTGTTGTTGTTGTTTGCCGTCGAGTCGGCCCC